GGCAGCATTACCTTTTATCTAAAGAGTTTGTTATTCATACAGATCATGAGACCCTCAAGTACTTGAGAGGACAAACTACTTTGAAAAAGAGGCATGCTAGATGGCTTGAGTTCGTAGAGACATTTCCCTATGTAATCAAATACAAGAAGGGAAAGGAGAATGTTGTAGCGGATGCTTTATCAAGGAGACATGCCCTCATCTCAACAATGGAGGCTAAGATCATGGGATTTGAGCATCTTAAGCAACTCTATGGAGAGGATCCTGACTTCAAAGAGCTTTATAACCAATGTAGCCGAGGAGTTTTTGGTTCTTATTACAGGCATAATGACTTTCTATTCAAGGACCGCCGGCTATGCTTACCTCAAAGCTCAGTTAGAGAACTCATCATAAGGAAGGCACAAGGTGGAGGCCTCATGGGACATTTTGGGATGGACAAAACGCTTAGCATTGTCAAGGAGCATTTCTTTTGGCCTCATCTTAGACGTGACGTTGAGAGATTCTGCTCCAAGTGCATCACTTGCTTGAAAGCAAAATCCAGGTTGCATCCCCACGGGTTATACATTCCTTTACCTATACCTGACCTACCATGGGTAGACATTTCTATGGATTTTGTTTTAGGCTTACCCAAGATCAGAAACAAGGATTCAATCTTTGTAGTGGTGGACCGTTTCTCCAAAATGGCGCATTTCATTCCATGTGCCAAGACTAATGACGCTACTCAGATTGCTGATTTGTTCTTTAAAGAGGTGGTGAGGATTCATGGCCTTCCAAGAACCATTGTTTCTGACCGAGACACCAAGTTCTTGAGCCATTTTTGGAGAACCGTTTGGAGAAAGCTTGGAACTAAGCTTCTATTCTCAAAAACTTGCCACCCACAAACCGATGGACAGACTGAAGCAGTCAACCGTACACTCTCCACCCTCTTAAGGGCTACGGTTGGTAAAAATTTAAAGAATTGGCTAGACTGTTTACCTTTCATTGAGTTTGCTTACAATAGAGTACCCCACTCGGCTATTAAGCTTTCACCCTTTGAGATTGTCTATGGTTTTAGACTCATTGCTCCTTTAGATCTTACTCCTTTACCACCGGTGCAATAAGTGAGTCAAGATGGAGTTAGCAAGGCCGAGCTGATGAAGACTATGTTCAAGAAGGTCAAGGAGAACATAGAGAAGAGGAACGAGCATTACAAGAAGAATGCTGACAAAGGACGCCGGGAAGTTACCTTTGAGCCTGGCGATTGGGTTTGGCTGCACATGAGAACCGAGAGGTTTCCAGTTCAAAGGAAGTCTAAGCTCTTACCGCGTGGAGATGACCCGTTCAAAGTCCTTAAAAGGATCAATGACAATGCATATCAGATCGAGCTTCCAGGTGAGTTTAACATTTCAAACACTTTCAATGTATATGACTTGTTACCGTTTGATGTAGGGGAATCAGTTCTGAGGACAGAACCTTTCCAAGGGGGAGAGGATGATACAAACTTAGAAGCGGAGGCTGATGTTCCAACAATGAGGCAAGCTCCAAGAACAAGATCAGGAACTAAAGACTTAGCTGATAGCTTCAACCAAGCAGTAGAGACGCTGATCACTTCCCAACACTTAGAAGATGTCACTACTCAACTTAGCCAACTGAGCATCGCCAAAGAAGCAGCAATGGTGAGGGCACGTCTAAACGAGGAAGGCATTCCCAACAAGCAAGAAGACTCCCTAAACAAGGAAGGCATTCCCAACGAGCAAGAAGACTCCCAAAACAAGGAAGACCTTCCCAACGAGCAAGAAGACGGTTTAAACATCATCAAACGTCCTCACATCAAAAGCATAGCTTATACACACAGATGGCCAATGATTCATGCTAGCAAAGGAGTTTCCTTATTTAGCATTACGCTACTTAAGTGAAAATGCTTCTAAACCACCTAAACCGAGGTAAGTCCGAGTTCTTATTTCAATATGGTTTATTCAACTAATAAAGCTCTTCTTTGGTTGTTTTGGTTCAGCTTTTATTTCATTTAAACATTAGAATAAGGCATGTTGGCCACATTTTATTTACAATTTCGTTTTAAGGCATTGTTAGCTAAGTAGTTTAACCTAAGGGTTTTGTAATCTGTTTCAAGTCCCCTATAAGGGCAAAGCTGTTCGGACTGTTTATAAAGTCCCCTCACAGCCGTGTATCTTTTCAACATATCAATAAAGAAACGAACTTCTTGGCTAAGTACCAATCCCTTGTTCTCTAAAAGCTTTGTGTGATTCATTGCTTGAAGAGTTCTTTGTCTTATCAAGGTTTATCACCATAAATCCTTGTGGCGACTATCGATCCATCATTCTATTCATCTCACAACTTAGATCTTGCAAATAGAGTTGTACAGCTCTTTGTTTGATCCTCATCTCGATCCACTTTCTTCCATAGCCCATCCATTGATTGCAAGCCGAAAGAGTTGAACAACCAGCGGCCCAATCCCATCACCATACACGGTTACTAGCTTGTAGGCGTGTGTCATCTACGAAGTTTCCATCAGCAACATAGCCGAAGAATTTGGAGATATTAATGAATGAGATGAATATTTTTGTGTTGTTATACCCAAGAGAATAAAATTATCTGACCAAGTTTGTCTATAACACTAATGCTCGAAACGACACCTTAGAACCAGAGAGATGAATATAAGCCAGAAGTTACCTTTGTAAAAGCATGTAACAATGATGCTTTATGCAGGAAGCGGTTAAAGTGAAGTGACAGAAAACGTAAAATGGATGTAACTAGGTAGATAGGATGATGGGGATCACCACAACTCGTAAAGCCGAAACACCAAAGCTGATAAAGAAATCCATTGAGCTAGAACCACACATAGATAAAGTCGCCACGGCTAAATGATAAAGACGCTCGAAACCACCACCAATGACTCTCCCAAAATCAAAGGATAAAGGTAAAATGATCAATAAATAAAAAGGGGTCATAAAAAATACTCTAAATTCCTTAACAATTCTCTTCCTCTTCCATTGATAATAAGCCTCATTATATAGAGGAAATACAACTCAAATTCATCTCTTAGACTCCTAATAAATGTAGAAAACACAGAAAAACAAAAAGTACTTAATTCTGCTTTAAAAATAGAAACTAAGACTGAAATGAATGCAATCTTGACTTGGACGAAAATGACTCTTTAACTACTCCTTTTGGGCTGTAAACATCTTCAAAAAGCTTGTTTTCCTTGCAAAACAAGCCCATAAATTTTTTCCCACGTTTTTGTCACTTTAGAATGAAGGTCTCGTAAGGGGGCCTGGCAGCCTCACAGAGAAGCGGGTTTGTGCGAATGGGTGCCTGGAAAGATAGTCTGACAGACTCACAGGCCGGCGGGTTTGTGCAAATGGAGGCCTGGCAAAAGGGCCTGGCTGACTCACAGACCAGCGGGTTTATGCGAATGGAGGCATGTCCGGAAAACTGGTCTAAAATCAACAAATGGAGGCCTGACAAGAGGGCCTGGCTGACTCACAGACCAGCGGGTTTATGCTACTCACTACTTTTTGTTTGTTTTCTCCAGCGTTTATTTTGCTGATTTCCTTTCTTTAATCTACAAACTTTTATCTTATCATGAAACAGAAATCTCCACCAGTATTTTAAAATATGAAAAGGATTGGAAAGGAAATGCTTACAAAAATTGAAAGAATATATAGATTCACCTTTTAGATCTACTTTTTAGATTCTCTAAACTATCTCTGAAGCCTATAAACCAATTTTATATTTTGTACGTTTTTCAGATGAATTGGAATGCAATACATAGTAGAGTTTTAAAGTTGAGGACTCTCCACTTTACTGCAGTTACGAAAGAAGAAGCAGTAATTAACATTAAACACTTGTTGATAGGGTTTTAATGTTAGCTATCAATGTGAATTTTTTTATTGGCGGAACCTAAAATGGATTCTAATATCTTAGATCATGTTATATTATTATTCACTTATTTGTAATTTATAATTTGTAATGCTGAGGTGGCACCATTTTAGAAAGGTTTTAGAAGCTGATGTGGATGGCCTAAGGAGCCCCAAAGAAATCCTTTTATTTAGTATAGATTAACAGCCCCAAATTCAACCTCAAAATAAGCATACCCTTTATGGATTTTTTACCAGTAGTACCAAAAGACTTAAAATTCAAAAGAGTTGATCCAAACTCAAATAGATATCTGAATACTTAACCAATGGAAACTGCTCTTTAATAAAAAACAGTAATGAAATATTTAAAAAATCTAAATTAATAGAAGAAATAATGATTTTTCTTCTCTATTTTTAATGCTTTTTCAAAAAATATGAGCCAGAAGATATGTGCGATCTTATTCTATTAAACGAATCTTCAAAAGATTGTTTTGCAACTAGTAATTTTTGTTTCTACATCAGGAGGTTTAAGTTTCAAATCACAGAGAGCGTGATTTATTCTTAATTATGCAGATTAATGAAAGAATGATGCAAATTAATGGAGACAAACTTACAAGAGATCTTCAGCATGGTGCAAGTAGAATCGTCAAGTGTAGATCTTCATATGATGATGGTAAGCATGGTGCAGGATGCAGGGTGCAAGTAGAACCGTTAGGCATAGATCTTCATAAGACGTTAGAATTGACCGTTGTAGAATCATCGATGTAACAGTTCTCATAATTTGCAATAGATTAATAAATTAGTGTTAAAAAAAAAGTCTAATAACTGATTCAATTGTTTTTTTTATTAATAATATATGTAAAATATTTAGTGGGAAAAATGTTTAAGATTAAAAATATATTGCTGAAATTTATACTATAAAACTAATAATAAAGATTCATGATTTCAAAGCGTTTTCAATTAGAAAGCTTAACTTTTTTTTTTTTAACCAAACCTGTTTTCTTTTGTTTAAAATATTATACTTTTCGTAGAAAAATGTTTAACTCTTTGAAATATCCAAACATGTCTGTCAAAGCCAAATCACTAATGACAATACAAATAAATGCTTACATACTTATTTGGGAAATTACTTAAAATAGCACAAAAATGACTGTGTATTATTATAATAACATCTAACAAAAAGTACTTATTAGAATAACACATATTTTAGGCAAACAGACATGATATCCAGTAGTATTTTTAGTAATTATATGTATGCCATTTCAGTGTTAATTTAAACTAAAAAATTCAAAATATAAAAAAAATATAATTAAACAAAATTTAAAACAAAAAATAATACACATATATGCAAAATCGGGGTTTTGAGTCTCTCGCCGCCGATGAATCCCTTCAACCTTCTCTCGCCACCGACGAATCTCACACGGAAATTGAAATTCTCTATTGTCAGCGAGTCCATGCTTTTCCTTCCTCGTCTCTGGTTCTAGGAATCGAAATTTCTCACCCATCGAGAGAGAAAAATTCTGATTCTCTGGAATTTTCTCGGCATATCCGCCTTTACCTTTTTGTCGATTCAGAAATTTCCGGTGGTCTCGCTCTTGCTGTCATCTCGTCGTCTCCGCCTGGCGAAACTTTCTGCTGTCTTTCCTGTCTTCCATTTGTTCAGGTAAATTCCCTATCGCTAGAATAATTTCGAGTGGAATTTTTGACCCTCTTTTTGGTTTCAAAGCTACATCCTGTTTCAATTCGTGATTCTTTAGGTGATTGTGATTCCCACTAACTGTGAACTTGAATTTCCCCTGAACTTGAATTTATTTTTTTCCTTGAACTGTGAACTTCAATTTTCCCTAAAGTTCAATGTGATTCATTTTTTTCTGGTTTTGCTCTTTTGATATTTGTTTAGTTATAGGTCTGTTGATAAGGCTACCTTAGTAAACGACAGTAGGAGATAACAATCAAAATGAATTCACACAGATTTTGTTTGGTTTCTCATCTTCTTCTATTGATTTAAAACCATGTAAAGATCTTTCTTGCAACAATATATGGGTTTATTGATTTGTCTAAATTTCTTCTATCTTTTTGATTGGTAGAACTAGCAATTTTCTAGAAAATCTTTGCTTGATCAATTCGTAGAGAAGAAAAAGATTGCTTGTCAAAAATCTTATGTGCGTTTGTCACACATTAATATGATCTTTCTGTTTTTGTAGATATGGCTTCATCAAATGCGAAAAACAAATATCCTCCAAAGCTATGTGAAGAGAGAAAAGCTTCCAATCAGCTAAGAAGTTTAGACCACAACTGTTATTTGTCCAATTTTCAAATGGTATATGAAGGAGTTGGAATTTATGTGTGGAATGCGTTGAAGGCTTCTTCTGTTGGAGTTATTGTGAAGCTTAGAGATGTTGCTTACATATGGTCGTCCAAGACTGTGGAGTACTTGCTTCAACATCAGTTGGCTATTGAGAACCTTTATGAAATATGGTCATTAATTTATGGTCAGCCTATCCGATTTTCTTTGTATGAGTTTGAGGAGATTACAAGCTTGAATTGTGCTCTTTTTAAAGTGAATGACAGATGGGATGCTGATCATAAACCATTTTGGGGAGAAATGAATGTTTCTACATTGGTTGGACCTTCTTTGGATGAGTTGCAAGTGGTCTTGGACATATGTAAAGACTTGAGTTTTGGGAAGAGGGAAATGGTAGGATGGTTGTGTATAATTTTGATTGGAATCCTTGGGATCTCACCTTCTAGTAGGATTTCTCTAGAGTTCACGAAAAGAGTTTTTGATCATGAAGCTTTTGAAAGGTATCCTTGGGGAAGAGTTGGTTTTAATAATTTTGTTCAGTCTATTAAGATTTCAACTTATGGCATCAAGAAGTCAAGTACAATTCAAGGATGTGTCCACGTTCTTCTTATATGGGCATTACGAATCCATTCTTGGATTAGTTGAACGTTATGGGAAGAAACGTATTCATGCTGAAGTAACTCTGCTTTCCTATGCTGGATCTCGCCCAAGAATCAATTTTGAAGAATTCATCACAAATCAGAAGAAAACTCATGACAATAAGGTATTAAATTCACTGAAATCTCACTTCATTTTTTTAGATTCGTGTAAGGCATTTTGTTGAAAGATGATGATATATATAAATCATGGGATGAAGATAACTAGGATGTGAAGGTCAATAACCTTATTGAAGATATACGTGAGAATCGCTTGAATACAAATGCCTGGAATGTCATTGAAGCTTCAGTTAGCAAGAAGCGTCATGTACCTCAACAATCATCACAAATAAAGAATACTACTAAAATACATTTTGCTGAAGCAGCCACAGCTGAGGTGAGTACAATCTCGTATTATTCTTTTTAATTTGACATCTTTGTTAGCAAAGTTACTCGATTATTATGATTGATAATTATGTAGGTATCTGATGAGTGTTATGTCGAGAGGAACAAGACAAACGTTGGCCAAAACAGTGGCAACATTAGAGTTACATCTGAAACTGAGAAGGCAAACATTGGAATTGTGAAGATGGTGAAGGCGTTGACTGAAAAAGTTGAAAATATGAAAACTGAAATGGCATAAACGTAATTACTATTGGATATCATGTTTTTTTTTTGCCTAAAATATGTGTTATTCTAGTAAATATTTTTTGTTAGATGTTAATCTAGTGATACACAGTAATATTTGTGCTATTTTTAAGTAATTTTCCTTGTTTTTTTATTAATAATTCATGTAAAAACTTTAGTGGGAAAAATGTTTAAGATTAAAAATATAAGGGAGGATTACTATAATACATTTTTAAAAAGGGGTTTGAACTAGAACAACTGAAATTTTTTTTTATTATTGAACTAACTTAGCGTATCTATTATGCCATTTTTGCTTTTGATAACAAAAACGGTATTTAAGATTATGCCATTACTTTTCTTTTGCCATGTAAGCGAGTTGTTCGACAGTAGACTTATCTAGTTCTGGTCTGGTAGACTTTTTTTTTGGTAGATTTGTTCTGTTTGGTAGACTTGTCGTTGACGATGAAGTACTTATGACGCACTAGATTTTTCGGGAGCAGTAGAGTTGTTTCAAAAATGGTAGACTTAAAAATAAGTTGTGGTAGATTTTTTTATTTTCGACCTTTCGCTGAGGGAAATCCATGATGATTGGTTAACTTTTTCCATTCATTGACTTTGAATGACAGTAGATTTGTTGGTAACTTGGTAGATTTATTTTGCGTTTGGTTGATTTAATTGTAGTGGTGGTAGATGTTTTGGTCATCTTGGTAGAGTTAGTTTGTATTTTCTGAAAATGGTGCTGTTTACTTGATGGTAGAGTTATTTCATTGATGGTAGAGTTTGTTGTAGTGGTAGATTTAGTTCATTGTTGTGGTAGATTTACTTCATTTTTGTAGTGGTAGAGTTATATTTTTTATAATTACTAGAACAACATCATTGGTAAATTTATCGTGATTGCGTAATGGTAGACTTATTTTGTGCTAGTAGATAGTTGACTTTTGAACTGATCGTGATTGTGTAATGGTAGACTTGTTATGTGGTATTAGACGGTGAAGAGCATTCAAATCGTGATTGTGTAATGGTAGAATTATTATGTGCTGGTAGATAGTTGACTTTTTAACAGATCATGATTGCGTAGTGGTAGACTTAAAATGTGGTATTGGAATTATGTTGGCAGTTTTGAATTTTTGTACTTTTACCAATTAAACATATTTAGCTAGCAAATAGAGTTTTGAATTAATAGTAAATATATATATATATATATATGTTTATGTGCAAGAGCTCAATATGTAAGCATGGTCTTATGAGAAGTATGGTCTCCTTCAACTTTAGTAGCTCAGGTTCGCCACTTACTAAGTATAATTTTGTTTATTTTTTGTATTTTTGTTTAATAAATGTCATAATTGTAATTTTGTCATCATCTTCCTTCTAGGGTTTTCGAGTTATGCAACTCTTCTTAGCGGCCGCCCCCGAAAATTTTCACATAATCCATCAATTTGTTTACATTTTTATTATTGTTTATACTTCAAATCTATAGATCTATTATAAAATAATACATTTCAGTCCTAAAAATACAAAAAATAAAGTTTTTATATTTTTTAATTATTCAGGTGTTGCTGAACCGCTGACTGTTTTTTCGCCAGAGAAGCGGCCACGGCGGCCGTATGAGGTTATCTAAAAAAGAAAACACTTAGAAATAAAAGAAATATTTAACCCAAAACAAAAGCTCAAAAAATAATAAGGAAAAATCCTATAAATAAAAATAATTACAAGCAGCCGCTAATCTATCTGACAACACCGGCCACCAAAGAACTCGAGGACCACACTCCTTGTAGCCTCCATAATGAATTCCCCTGAAGAAGAAGCTAACAAACAGAGGAGAAGATGAGGGAGCCGATCCGTAGAGAAGCTCAACACCGTCGTCCCCGGAAAAACCAGATCTGGGATTGTTAAAGAGAAGGAGAGAAAGAAAAGAGAGAGGACGGAGAGAGAAAAGAGATTAAAATCATTTTTGTTGTAAACTAATGTTTTATATAGAAAAGCAAAGAAGTGATTAAGATCTTTAAAACTTCAGAGAGAAAGAGAGAAAGATAAACATAAGAACTTCATTTATTTCTTCTTCTGAACTTATGAATTTACAAAGAATGAAGTCACCTATTTACAGGAAAAACCTTACTTCATAGTGAAGTAAGCTAATGTATAAAGACAAAACATATAGATAAGCATTATCCAAAACATATGGATAAGCATTATCTAAAACTTATGGATAAGAATTATCCTTTAATATGTTAATGTATAAAGACAAAAGTAAATGGATAATCACTATCTATTTAACACTCCCCCTTGATTATCCATTACTAATGATGTATTACGTACTGCCTCGTTAAAAACATTATTATGGTAAAACCCTTTTGGGATAAAACCCATGACATGAAAAAGAGTGCAGTAACGCTCCCTCGAAATGACGTCTGAGTATCATCACTGTGAAGTTGCATGCTTCCTCATTAAAAACCTTTCCATGGAAAAACCCAATAGGATAAAAACCATGATAAAGAGAAATAGAGTACATCAATAGCAAATTCCCCCTGGAAAAGATGGATCTCATCCTCTCTTCACAAATCTTGTAGATGCCGCATTCCAATACTATGAATATGTTTCTTGAATGTTGAAGTACGAAGCGCTTTTGTGAAGAGATCAGCTGCGTTGTCACTTGAACGAACATACTGAATATCCACTACTTTATTCTTCTCGAGCTCTTGAGTATAGGAGAAGAATCTTGGAGGGATATGTTTCGTTCTATCGCTCTTGATATAACCTTCTTTAATTTGAGCGACACAAGCAGCATTATCTTCAAACACCTTTGGTTCATTTTCTGTGATTATTCCGCTTGCTTCTTGTATGTGATGAGCTATTGATCTAAGCCATACACATTCTCTGCATGCTTCATGAAGCGCAATAATCTCTGCATAATTTGAAGAAGTCGCGACCAAAGTTTGCTTTTGTGATCGCCAGGAGATCGCAGTTCCACCAAATGTGAAAACATATCCAGTTTGCGATCTAGCTTTATGCGGACCAGACAGATATCCTGCATCTGCAAAACCAACTAGACCAACCTCGGTGTTTCTAGAATAATATAATCCAAATTCAATCGAACCTTGAAGATAACGGAATATATGCTTTATTTCATTCCAATGCCGGCGCGTCGGTGATGAACTATACCTTGCAAGTAAGTTAGTAGCAAAAGCTATATCTGGTCTAGTACAATTTGCAAGATACATAAGGGCGCCGATAGCGCTCATATAAGACACTTCAGGACCTAATATTTCTCTGTTATCTTCACAAGGTCGAAATGGATCCTTGTCAACATCAAGTGGTTTATTGACCATAGGAGTACTCAAAGGAGTCGCTTTATCCATACTAAAGCGTTTCAACACCCTTCTGGTGTAATTTGATTGATGCACAAATATTCCATCTTGGAAATGCTATATCTGGAGCCCTAGACAAAATTTTGTCTTTCCAAGATCTTTCATTTCGAACTCATCTTTCATATGAGCTCTAGCATCATCAATCTCCTTTTGAATTCCAATCATGTTCAGGTCATCAACATATACAGCAATGATCACAAATCCTGATGCGGATTTCTTAATAAACACACAAGGGCATATCGTATTGTTGACGTAACCTTTACTCAACAAATACTCACTTAAGCGATTATACCACATGCGTCTGGATTGCTTTAATCCGTAAAGTGAGTGCTGTAGTTTGACCGAACATAGCTCTTCAGATGATTTAGGCATCTTTGATCCTTGAGAGATCTTAAATCCTTCAGGGATTTTCATGTATATTTCACTATCAAGTGAACTATATAGGTATGCAGTCACAACATCTATCAAGTACATCTCTAAATTATTAGAGGCCGCTAGGCCCATTATGTACCTGAATGTGATTGCATCCATGACCAGGGAATATGTCTCTTCATAATCTATTCCCGGTCTTTGAAAAAATCCTTGTGCCACAAGGCGAGCTTTATACCTTGTGACCTCATTTTTCTCATTTCTCTTTCTTACAAAGACCCATTTGTATCCGACCGGTATTACGTCTTCAGGTGTAATAATTATCGGTCCGAATACGTTCCGTTTATTAAGGGAGAATATCTCATCTCTCATGGAAACTTGCCATTTATCCCAGTCAGGCCTTCTTTAGCACTCTGACATGGAACTTGGATCTTGATCATCATTTTCATGATCAATCTCTTTGGAAACAGAAAAAGGAAACATTCCATCATTATCTTCTATTTCACTTCTAGCCTATAATTTTCCACTTTGGGCGAAGGAGATGGAAATCTCATATTTTTTCTGCTTCAGATTCGTCTTCAGGACAAACCTCTTTACCTGATTCTTCTAGAACCTTTTCACAAATGTCTTCAGGACATTTGGCTTTATTTGGTTCTTCCAGAACCTTTGCTTCCAATTTCTTTCTTTTTCGGGGATTTTTATCTTTTGATCCTACTGGCCTCCCGCGCTTTAGCTGAACCGGTTCATTTTCTCTATTTACATCAATATGTTCTTCAGGAACATTTATCTTTAATGCAGCAATTAGCAGCGGGGATATAGGACTTTGTCACCCTTCTTGTATCAGTGAATGCATCAGGTAACTTGTTTGCCAATCTTTGTATATGTATAATTTTCTGAACTTCCACCTCGCGTTGGTTTGTAGGAAGATCAAGATAAGCCAAAGTTTTTGTACACCATGTGATATCATTTGGTGATTCTCTCAATCCTCCCCCTAACGCAGGGAATTCACTTTCATCAAAGTGGCAATCGGCAAACCGTGCCGTGAACATATCACCAGTCACCGGCTCAAGATACCTAATTATACTTGGTGACGAATACCCGATATATATTCCCAATCTTCTTTGTGGTCCCAATTTTATTCTTTGAGGTGGCGCAATAAGGACATAGACAGCACACCCAAACACACGAAGATGGGATACATCTGGCTTCTAGCCAAATGCTAACTGTATGGGGGAATATTCATTATACGCACTTGGTCTTACCTGGACCAAAGCCCCAGCATGCAATATAGCATGTTCCCATACAGTGATTGGAAGCTTTGTTCTTAAGATTAACGGTCTTGCAATTAATTGCAACCGCTTAATCAATGACTCAGCCATGCCATTTTGTGTATGAACATGTGGAACCAGATGATCAACATCGATTCCCAAAGACATACAATAGTCATTAAAGGCCGCTGAAGTGAATTCACCAGCATTATCAAGCCTGACTTTCTTTATGGCATAATTA